GTGACGTTAGCTTCAATGACTTTAGCTTCAGTGACGTTAGCTTCAGTGACGTTAGCTTTAATGATGTTTGCTTCAGTGCGTTAGCTTCAGTGATGTTAGTTTCAGTGACGTTTGCTGCGGTTATGTTAGCTTCAGTACCGTTAGTTTCAGAGTACATTAGCTTCAGTGACGTTAGCTTCAATGACGTTAGCTTCAGTGACCTTAGCTTCAATGACGTTAGCTTCAGTGACGTTAGCTTTAATGATGTTTGCTTCAGTGCGTTAGCTTCAGTGATGTTAGTTTCAGTGACGTTTGCTGCGGTTATGTTAGCTTCAGTACCGTTAGTTTCAGAGTACATTAGCTTCAGTGACCTTAGCTTCAGTGACCTTAGCTTCAATGACGTTAGCTTCAATGACGTTAGCTTCAATGACGTTAGCTTCAATGACGTTAGCTTCAATGACGTTTGCTTCAGTGCGTTAGCTTCAGTGATGTTAGTTTCAGTGACGTTTGCTGCGGTTATGTTAGCTTCAGTGTACATTAGCTTCAGTACCATTAGCTTCTGTTTCGGTGAAATTAGCTTTGGTGACATTAGCATCAGTTTTGGTGACGTTCGCTTCGGTGACGTTAGCTTCAGTTTCAATGATGTTAGCTTTGGTGATGTTAGCTTAAGTTTTGTGATCTTTTGTAATTTCGTATTTTCATCTTCAACAGTTTTACGATAAACTGTGACTTTCTTACCTTCTTCTTAAACTGACAAACATCTTGTGTGTAATTCAGGGCACAAATCAAATAGGATTTAAACATTTAGCAAGGATTACACTTTCCACGTACGCGAGGGCCCGCGAGGGGCCGTGTGACGAAAACATTGTCATCTGAGGGGGTACGTGTAGGTTCTGTGTCGACGTCCGCGTGCCTCCCGTTTTTTATGACCGACTACGCTACCAGGGCACAAACCGATCTAATAAGCAATTGTGGAACAGAAGTAGTCTGCGTCTGTGGCGTCCCCAGCTGTCCGTGTGCTCATGCGCTCCAGGGTATAGTCGAGGCTTTAGTCGTCTATCGCTGTTCTGAACATATTTATTTGGAAATAAACTCCCATGTGGTGGAAGGGACGAACTTAGCCTCTCTATAAAAGGCAAAAATATTCCTGTATGCAGCCCTCATCTCGCCTCACATTTTCTCATTTCATTTTTCATGTTTCCTCAGACAGAGGGAGGAGTTCTGCTGAGTCCAGAGGACCGGAGGAGAGCGACGAGCTGGATTATCTTCCTGCTGAACACGACTGATGCTTTCTTTCAATGACTTGACACAAATCGCTGCCATCTGGTTCTGAAGGACCAAAGGCCACCCATCTCAGAGCTGTGGGCTGTTTTGTTAACTGTCGGCCTCAAACCCCGCTAGGGCCGCAGCTTCACAGACATTAGTTGAATCCGTTAACTGTTTTCCAGTCTGAGGCCCGCTCCTTCCTGGTTCAGTCTTGAAATACACAGCAGCCATGTCGTCTCTACGTCGATGTGAACTGCCGTTGAGTTTGCACGTGAAGCAGCACTGAAACACATCTCTCTACACTGAAATTAACAACATATTCACATATCAGGCTTTACAAATCAACCAAAGACATAACATCAGCAGAGATTACCATGAAGGTATGACGACGACATCACGCCGACAGACAGACAGGAAACAGCCTCGTTAGCTACCTTGGACAATTTACTCATGTCTGTTTACTGATTTTTAAAATTCAGACAGAAACACTTTTAATTATTAGTAATTCTTTGTCATAAAATGCTGAAATATATAATATTTGAATGTAACTGAGTTTGTCCTGTTTGCTTTGGGACTCTCAGTCCAGCTGATTAATGTTGACTTTGATATTTATTGGTTTTTCAGATTTGTAAACTGGTTATAACAATATGACACACTGCAGAACAAATGAGGTACTCAGAATATATATATATATATATATATATATATATATATATGTGTGTGTGTGTATTAGCTAATTGAAAGTACTTTGACTGATATTGCAATATGATATCAGAGGGAATAATCAGTATTCTCATTTCATTAAAAAATATTAAAATGATTCTGGTGTCATTTTTTTTATTTTTATTAGCGAATCAAACTGTAGAAGTTAATGTGTAGGCAGGAACATATTTCATTTAATTTGGCGCTCCGACCGTTTCCGAGTGTTATGATTTGTGCGACAACACGAGACACAGCAATATCACTAACTAGTCCAACAGGAAGAAGGCCAACTTGCCGGCTGTCCTGCAGACTTTTATTTCACCAAGGTCTCGCCAACGTCCTGCAGCTTCACGCTCGGTCTCTCTCTTTTCCTCTTAGCTTCCTCCGTCAGCATCCTCTTCGGTCTCTTCTCCTCTGCCTTTAGCTAACGTTATGTCCACAGTGGCTGCTGAACCCGGTTCTGTCTGTTATGTTATGTATGACATCTTCTTCAGTCTCTTTGCAGCCTCTGCTATGATATTCATACTGAGAAACTGAGCTACCTTCTTCCAAATAACTCACATTGTATATTATATACTTGTTTCGTCTTCCTTTTATCTAACTTACTGAAGACTCTCGGTGGTGTGTCACATGGTGCCGTAAAGCCGTTCTCGTCATAGAAATCTCCCACAGCCTGGAGAGGCAATGAAAGTGACGTCATTTATCGTGTTACAAAGTAAGTGTAGCGTCGAACATCCAGGGTCCAGTCGTGGGGGCAGCAGCTCCAGCAGGGGCCCCCATGGGTTTTGGCCTCCTACAACCTCAGAGCTGGTAACATCCGAACCACCTCAACTCACTCCTTTCGACGCACCTGTCCTGAACATCCTCTCACAACTGTCTCAGCTGTTAGTTGTTCTTTGTAATATTCAAATGTTTTGATTAAAGGAGTGTATGTTGAAGTACATGGGATTTAATGTTTTGTTTGTATTTTTGACCATGAGATCTAATTGGTATCGAGAATCTTAGAATTTTACTGGTATTAATATCGAGTACTAAATTTCTGGGATCGTGACGTTCCTAGACTCCCTAAGGATTCCCTACCTGGAGGGAGCACTACCCTGGTTTCCTGCTGAGAGCCATGTTGCTTAGAAATGGAATTTTGACACACATTATTTTAACAAATATCATGTCTCCTGCAATTACAATAACATTTCAGTTGATAGTTCAGCCCATATTTCTGTCAAAAAGATTTTCTTTGACTCTCTAAAAGTAAATTACATTAGCAAGCAGTCGCTCTGTGGAGGATCAACTTTACACCCAAAAGTTTTTATTTTTCTGCTATAAGTAAATGTGAGGGCAGGTATCCTCTCTTCAGTTTCCCCAGGATGCATCACAGCTAGTTATGGCGTATCCCATAATATATTTTCTGGTTGTAATGATTTGGTTCAATATTTATTTATTGGCATTCATTCATTAGTGTGTGTGTTGTGTGAACTTAATTTAAGTTGAGCTTCTGGCAATGTAAGATGTAGTCGATTTTGTTATTGCAATGAACTTTGCATCAATAAATCTGTCCTTCGTTTTTCTGTTGAAGAGAAGAGGTGGTGTTTGTCCTCCAGGAGGCGCGCTTCTGTCACTGCTGCTTTCTGAAGTTTTGGGAGAAAATGGCGTCTTCCTGAACGGCATGAGAAGATGTGCATATTTTGTTTTTTTTAAGTTGAAACTGTCCGGAAACATTCGTGTAAGCGTTGCATCAAATCCCAGACTTTTACTATAATTTTAGAGCTAATCACGAGTAAGTATTGTGTACAAGATAAAACGCTATTCGTTATATTGCAGCTTTATTGTGAGCGGCCAACGGTGCCGCGCCGCCATGTTTCTTGAGGGAAGGGAACGTTAGCTACGCCAATGCTAACCTGCTAACTCAACATTTGTGCTTCTTTTTAAAAAATACTAAATCTACATCATATTGCTCTATTGGCCAATTTGCCCAGTCATAATATGCGATTTCACACAGAACATATAGTTAGTTTTGATGCTTCTTTTAACCATAAATTAACAGCAATTCGAAGCTAACGTGTCATTAGCGCTTGCTAACCTAAAAAGCTAACTAGCTGTGTCAGGATCCAATCGAAGCTAACGAGTCAGCAGCGTTTGCTAATCTAAAATGCTAACTAGCTGGTGAGGAGCTAATTTAGCATAGTGTTCAAGTACATACTCTAGAAAGATGTGCTCATATGGGGATACAAAGTTACCTGATGTTACGCCAGTACTTAGCATTAGCTTAGCCTGCCCACAACAAATTAAATGGGACTAGCATTAGCCTAGCCGCAAAGGCTAATGTTGCGGGGTTAGCATTAGCTGCCCAGGGAGCTAATTAGCCAACATGAATAGCATTTTAGTAGCTGGAGCAGAGAGGCAGCGTCACCCTGTGTGTTTTGTTAATAATTCGTTTTATTCATTAAACTGCATTTAACAAGATGATTGTGGAGAAAATAAAATATTGCTTTGTGCAACTTCCTGTGTCGGCTTGCTGTTTGCTAGCCCTGAAAACTCGACCCAGGTGTATCTGACACCTGTGTTTACCTGCCGGCCAGCCGAGGACGCTTTAACTGTTGACAGACAGGAGTCTGCCGAATGAAGCAACAGCTGCTCTAATGTGTCAGGACGAGTTATTGTTTATATGATGAAGAGTTTATATACAAATCCGGAAGCATTCACTTAAAAACACTGCATTTATTTAATGGATAGATGTTGTTTTTGTTTGTATAGTTAGGGCTGCAGTTGATGATGATTACTTTCATCAGTCGCTCATTTTATTATTCGATAGAGTTTAGAGTGTAAAAATGTCCAAAAAAGACCAAACAGTCTGAGAGTTGATAAAGGTTTTGATTTAAAAAATTAAAAGCCGTCATTAAATGTTTGAAAATGTTCAATTAGCAATTTTTTGAACTTCTATTTGATGTCAAACGTTTACATTATTATTTATATTCTACAGTTTGGTTTCCTTAGTAGTATTTTGTTGAACTGATGAATCCAGGATGGAACAGGGTGAAGTTGTCCGACACGCTGTGGCGGAGCAGCTGCCTGTTAGCATGGTTAGCAGTTAGCCACCTAGCTTCTGCCATTTCCAGCAGCGCTGCTTGTGTTTGGTTGGTTGCTGTTAGCAGCAAGATGGCGGCTTCCATCCCGGCGCACAGACCCTCCGCTCTGCACATTTAGCAACAGCTTTCAGCCTCCACTGTTCCCCCCTCACACTGATGCATGGAGCAGCCGTGCACCGCATTCACCCGCAGCTGGATTATGCGTTTCTGTTTCTGCTGGTTCTTGTTAATCTGAGCGGCTACCGGCGAATTTCTTCAGCGTTCACGGGGCTAAAATGGCGGACTGTCTGCTGCAGTGTCTGGGCTAGCTAGCATCACACCGACCCCTCTCAGAATCACAGACTGGAACATCAGATAATGTTTATTATATCTATTTAATAAAAGTTCACGAAGCTGTAGCGGACAGCTCATCACGTCCAGTTAGAACAGCTAAGATAGCCAGCTTCGGATAAACTAGCCGGCTAGCCATTAAGCTTCGGGAGCTAGTTAGCAGGCTAATGCTAACCGTGAGCTAGACAAAAACTTTCTGACGCAACTCTCGACTGAATTTTGGATTTTCTTTTTCCCCTTGCTGAGGACCGGGAGACGCGAACCCAGACAGCAGCGTCATGGCGTCCGAACCCGCGGTGCTACAGCCCCGCTGGAAGCGCGTCCAGGGCTGGACCGGGCCGGTGCCGCGGCCCCGCCACGGACACCGAGCCGTGACCATCAAGGAGCTAATGGTGGTGTTCGGCGGAGGGAACGAGGGGATCGTGGACGAGCTGCACGTCTACAACACCGGTAAGTTACCGGGAACACCGGTTACCGTGACTTCAAAGTACATTCTTATAGAATATTAATCTGTAGAAATGTATAAACTGACTTCTGTTTATGCTAACACGAACCTAGCCGTTAGTTAGCTAACTGTGCTAAAGAGCTACCATGTTTTGATTTTATTCGGTGGGTGTGACGGAAGCTTGAAGCTGGATGTGGGGGATTTCACTTCAGGGGGTCGGGTTGGAGGTTTAGCCCGCTAGGCTAGGCTAGGCTAGGCTAGCTCCTGCTCCTTGAAGCTAACGCGGTAGCCGCTGTTCCGCATGCTAACAGGATTAGCTGTTTAGCTAACGGAGCGGCTCTGGCAGAAACAGAGAGAAATGGCGCGTTTTCACTGAAAACATTGTCGACGTCACACGGACACGCCCCTCCGCCGCTGCTGCAGCGCAGGTGAGCAGCAGAGACAACAGCGTGAAATGCATCAAATAATGTGAAGGAAGGGCTTTTAAACGCTTCATGTTAGGACTTTAAAGTGTGTGTGTCTCAAGCTTAAACATCCCATATTCACTTTTTCTGTAATATTGACTAAATAAGCGTCTGTGCAGAACGGAAAGGAAGAAAAGAGGAAGAAAACACATGTAATGTTTTATTTAATGAACAACATTAGAGCCGCTGTTGGTGGTTTAATCTACAGTCATGCAACATTTCTAATATTACAGTATAACTGGTTTTGCAGCAGCCGCCACTCTGTTTACTGCCCTATTGAATCAGCTGACCAATCAGTTAACAGGCTCCTCCTTAAAGTGATCAGAATAGAATCCATGATGCACCTGGATCATCATTTTCTGTTGTCACAACCACCAGGACATGAGCAAGCGCAGGAGTCACCACAGTCCTATAAATCCGGCGGTCTTGTCTGCTTTTGATTGGCTCTCACCTTCTTCCACGACTGAGTTTTGGGGAAAATACACACAGATAGAGACGCAGTTGACAAAAAATTGTCCTGAGACATGTTAGGTGCAGCAGTACGCCAAGAAAAAATGGGCGATGTGGCCAAAAATGTTATCAGGATAACAAAAATTCATATGGTTGGATATTGATTAATTATCAGGATGAATGTCTAATCAGTATTTGTTTCAGGTTTAAAGGCTGATTTTTGCTCCTGAGTGAAAGTTAACGTAGTTTTAAACTTTTCTTTCTGGTCAGAACAAACAGACGATCACTTCACAAATCTGAGGCACAACGTTCAGAACAATGATAAAAAAATCTGTTTTCAACAAATATGCACGAGTAAAATTAAGTTAAGAAAACGTTCAGTCCCTTTTTGTCTGTCTTCATAGGAAATCAAACATTTATTGAACATTTGTTATTGAGGACAGGGCTGAACAATTCTGGAAGATAATCTAACTGGGATTGTTTTATTACCAATATAACGATTGCGATTTAATATGCGATTAATGTTTAAGCTCTTTCCCTTCTGGACCGGACGAGCAGTAAATCAGTGTGCAGCCTGACCAGAGATCAAACTCACACTGTGGCAGGATGAGTAATTATTATATATCTAATTATGATAATGAGAAAGATCACGGCATTAAATAAGATGATACATCATCATAAGAACAGCCAAGTTCACCACAGTGTGTTAAACAGTAAGAGCTCAATACAAACTCACAGTTCAACCAGCAGGTACTGCGTCCTGATCTGAGGTCAGACCTCCTGGAGTCCATCTTTCTGTGTCCCAGGCAGCAAACAAAAATACTCAGTTTGAGGTTCAATTCAAAAGTTGGCCAACAGAAATAAAACCAAGTGACTCCTCTCGTCGAGCGACTCTCTCTGGGCGGCGGCGGCCCGGCCGTCAGCAGAATCTCCCAGCCGACCACGCTGGAGCCCGGCCGCAGCTCCAGACTGTACAGGTCGTTCAGGTACCTGACGGGGAACCGGAGTGATCAATCAGATCTGGATCAGAACGCCAGGGACACAATCGTTCCTACAAACGCTGTCTGGACCGATCTGACCCGGTTCTATGAGGAAATCTCGTTTTATCACATTGCGATAATATCGTGAATGCAGTTAATCGGTCAGCCCTAATTGAGGAAAATTATAGTGCGATAATTATCGTTTTTGGACGCACAGATGACCAATTAGGTTTCTCTGCAGCTGTAAAGTGTTTGACCTCTTGTACCCCCCCCCTCCCAGGAAGTAAACCTGTAAACTGTCTAACATGTTGCTGCCCCCCCCCCCCAGCTACCAACCAGTGGTTCATCCCTGCAGTGCGCGGTGACGTCCCCCCCGGCTGTGCCGCCTACGGCTTCGTGTGTGACGGGACGAGGCTGCTGGTGTTTGGAGGGATGGTGGAGTACGGCAAATACAGCAGCGACCTGTACGAGCTGCAGGTCAGTGATGGGGCGGGGCTTCAGGACACTGACGACACTCGCTGAGCGTTCAGCTGGGGTTGGAATAATCGGGGGGGGGGATATCCTCCAAACAGAGGATCACTTCACAAGTCTGAGGGAGAACATTCAAAACTATTATTATAAAAATATAATTTAACAATATGATTAGTAAATCTTTTTCAACAAAATAATTATTTAAATAGAAAAATTAAGTGCTAATTTGTTCATGATTCAAATGAATTAGACCAAATATATTTATTGACGATATATTGAACATTTATTATATTGTTGTTGAGGAAACTTATATTGCGATAATTCTCATTATTATTTTATTATTTAGCTCTAGTTACAGTCTTTTTTTTTTTACCTGGTCTGGGTACCTCACTCACACTGAGGCAGGAAAACGTGTTTGTCTACAAAATGATTTTATTTATTTAACAACAGAGACCAAACTCCTCAAAAACACGTGGGCTCATTTTTAAGCTAAATGAGAAACGCTCTGCCAAGTAGGCCGAACCATTTGGGGAAAAATGTAATTGCAGTTTTTCTGCCAGATATTGCAATTACGATTTGATTTTTGATTTTTTTTTGCATCAAGCAGCACAGAGCAGATGAACCAGGAGGGAATCCGGTCGATTTTCAAAATAAAATACACTGTGCAGACTCCCGATCGTACATCAACAATAAACACAAATAAAACAGACAAAAACAGCCTGATCCGTGGTTGAAGCACACAAAATGACAAATTAACAACACGGTAACATCGTAGGGCAGCTAAACGCTTCGCTGCAGCCGCCTGTGTCGGTTCACCTGCCGCCATTATCCCACGTTTGCCTCCAGTCACGCCCTGCACCCGCTCTGATTGGTCAGTAGGACCGTAACAGGAGGCGCATGGCGCTGGTGATTGGCGAGCAGATCTGTCACACAAGGATGGTAACGGTTTAAAACGGGTCAGGTGCGCCAGATAATTAACCTACATATTAATCGCCGTCTTCACGATGTGCTATTCGGATTCTTTGAAATCGCAATTTCGATTTGAAAATGATTAATCGTTCGGCCGTGCTGCCAAGTTTGTATTTTTAATTAAAAAATGTAAAACAAAGCTAGAAGATGCGGCGCGCGAGGCGTTCACTGTCTGCTGTCTCCTTCAGGCGAGTCGTTGGGAGTGGAAACGTCTGAAGGCCAAGGCTCCAAAGAACGGCCCGCCCCCCTGCCCCCGCCTCGGACACAGCTTCTCTCTGATTGGCAGTTCCTGCTACCTGTTTGGAGGACTGGCCAATGACAGTGAAGACCCCAAGAACAACATCCCCAGGTAGAAAGAGAGAGTTATTATTTGGATTGTTTGATATTTTAGTGATTGTTGTTTTTAAATCTCACATTTGATGCTGATTTTATTTTTTTAAACTAAGTAATAAATTTTTTGTAATGAGTTTTTGTCTAGTAATACTCACACGTTCACGTTTTTATCTATTTTATTTATATTTTTAACACACGTTACTGTCATTTAGTTTAATTTTTAATATATTTTTTCAACACACACGCTTACTGTTTTATTTATTTACTTTTATTTTTTTAGTTTTTACAGAATTTTTATATTTTATATATTTTTTTATTTATTAACGCACACAAACACAACTTTTACTGTTTCATTTTGTTATTTAATGAAATGTATGAAATGAATTGTCCTTATGTAATTTATGTGTAGCTCTGAATACTGTTGCTCTACATTCATGCCAATAAAGCTGATTTTGCTGAATTTCAGTTTGAAAGAGAGGATGAGCAAACAGGTTAAAGAAATGAGGTGAAAATAAACCTCTTATAGTGATCACGTCTGTCGGGGTCAGATCGGTCCAGACAGCGTTTGTAGGAACGATTGTGTCCCTGGCGTTCTGATCCAGATCTGATTGATCACTCCGGTTCCCCGTCAGGTACCTGAACGACCTGTACAGTCTGGAGCTGCGGCCGGGCTCCAGCGTGGTCGGCTGGGAGATTCCGCTGACGTCCGGCTCGCCGCCGCCGCCCAGAGAGAGTCACACAGCCGTGGTGACGAGCGGCCGCGGCGCCAACAGACTCATCATCTACGGAGGGATGAGCGGATGCAGACTGGGAGACCTGTGGGTGCTCGACATAGGTGAGACAAGCTGATCTGACCTGATGTCGGGACAAAGTTCGTTCCTTTGTTTTTAAATTTCACTTTTGATACAGATTTTTTTTTGTTGTTTTAAATTCATTAATTAAATCAATTTTTTTTTGTCTATTAATACACACACACACACTCTTACGGTTTTATTTATTAACTTTTTTGTTTTATTGTTTATTAACAAACACAACTTTTGCTGTTCTTTATTTATTTAATGAAATGCATGTAATTTATTTGTAGCTTTGACATTCATGCCAATAAAGCTTATTTTTTTAAGTATTTGACCGTCCACCAGCTTCAGGTCATCACACGTGCTGATTTCTGATTGGTTCCTGTTTTGATGATGTCACAGACTCTCTGATCTGGAGTAAACCGACCCTCGGAGGAACCGCCCCCCTCCCCCGCAGCTTGCATACTGCCACCACCATCAACAACAAGTAATACTGCACACAGTCTTTAATGCATCTGCTAATCTGACATTCATACTGGAATCTCACCCCCCCCACCTGTCTGTCAGGATGTATGTGTTTGGAGGTTGGGTTCCTCTGGTGATGGATGATGTCAAAGTGGCGACTCATGAGAAGGAGTGGAAGTGTACCAACACGCTGGCCTGCCTCAACCTGGGTAACCACACACACCCTGAGGACAACACACACTGTAAAAATGAGCAGGAACATCCGGGTCTGCAGAGTGAAACCAGTGTCGTCTGTCTGTCTGTCTGTCTGTCTGTAGACACGATGTGCTGGGAGACGGTCCTGATGGACAGCGTGGAGGAGAACATCCCCAGAGCTCGAGCGGGTCACTGCAGCGTCGCCATCAACTCCAGACTCTACGTCTGGAGCGGCAGAGACGGATACAGGAAGGCCTGGAACAACCAGGTGTGCTGCAAGGACCTCTGGTACCTGGAGACAGGTGAGGAGGACTGAACTACATGCAGCTAGTACCTGGAGACATACAGTGTCTCACCTGTCTGCCTGTCTCGTCTGTCTGTCTGACCCTGTCTCACCTGTCTCACCTGTCTGTCCTCAGAGCGTCCCTGCGCTCCCTCTCGGGTGCAGCTGGTCCGGGCCAACACGTCGTCTCTGGAGGTGAGCTGGGGGCCGTCGCAGACCGCTGACACTTACCTGCTGCAGCTGCAGAAGTACGACATTCCTGCCGCGTCTGCGCCCGCCTCACCTGCCTCTAGCCCTGCCGTCAACCCTGTCCCCAAGAGCCTCGCCCCCATCGCCGCGACACCAGCTAACCAAACTGTCCCGCTGTCCGGGGTCACGTTGGTCCCCTCCCCCACAATGGCTGCCGCCGCCAAAGCACCAGGTAGGTCTACACACCTGTACAGGTAGCTCTACAGAAACAGGCAGACCTGAGTGTTCCTCACCTGTTCCCTGTGTCTCTGTAGCGGTCCTGAAGGTGGCAGCGGCTCCAGGTGCAGCAGGCGGAGCCTCCATCGTCACAGTGAGACAGGCCACGCCCAAATCCCCAATCGCCGTGACAACTCTTCCCGCAGGTGTTCGTATGGTGGTACCTGCTCAGGCCAGTCAGGGGACGGTAAAGAGATCTTCATGATTCTTATCTCTTCACTGCAGGTCCGCCTGATTGTTCTGGAGCTTTTTACCACATTTAATGGAACTGTCTCTATGACAACTGAGCGCCACCTGAGGACGACCATGACATGTGGTTGAAAGCTCTGGAAAAAGGTGTTTTTGTCCACTTATTAGAACTTTCCTGGAGCTTTCAGCTACATCCCTTGGCCTTCCTTAGTGGATGGAGTTTGCTCAGTCGTCATTAAGTACGTTCAGTTATGTGGCGTTAAATGACCTCCTGATTCAAAACCATTTAGGTCAGGCGGTCACGTGACTGTACGGGGTGGAAGACACAACATGTGGTTGAAAGCTCTGGAAGGTTTCTTGTATTTGGACTTCATGTTTTAAATCAGTGTTTGTGAAAAGAAAGAACTTTGACTCTCAACAGATCGGTCCTTGTTTTCACATCTCCCTCCTACTTCCTGTTTACTCTCAGCCAATAGGAAGCAGTCCTCAGATGAGCGGTATGGCGGCGTTGGCGGCCGCAGCTGCAGCAACTCAGAAGATCCCTCCGTCCACGACGGCGATGCTGAACGTCCCTGCAGGAGCAACGATTGTAAAGACGGTGGCTGTGAGTTCAGTATCCAGCAGTACAGTCCACATCAGGGTTGGGCCGATGGACGACGCCATCGTCCGTCGGCGACTGATGGTCGATGGTTTTCCCAGTAAAGAGTAATGTAACAGATTGCTATTTCCAAAACAGTTACATTATTAGTTACTAATCCAAATAACGCTGCTGAACGCACCATCCCTGACGTGAACGCGCGACCGCGCTGCAGCTCAGCGGCGCCGGCTGCCAGCTGTTAGTAACGTTATCGCCATTACTGTGTCACTCTCTTTGACGCAAAGAAGCGTTTTCGCGAACATTTATACTTAATTAAAGCTTAAATTATTTCTTGTCCTTTCGTAGGAATAAATTAATGCTGTAACATCATACATGAATACTTTGTGTGTGTGAGACTTCATAATTTACTCCGTTTGGTGTGACTCTGATGTTATACAGGAGTACAGGGAACTGCATAAATATATTTTATATATATATATATATCAAAAATAAACAGTTTAAACCATTTGCATTAGAGGTGTAAAATAGAAGTGTCGCACTGTAAATTAAAGCCCGATCGATTTTATCGGCCGATAAGAGCTAATTGCAGTTAATCAGCATCTGCGTTTATAACAGCAGATATATGACTATTGATAAAGAAACAGATCCTTCACTCATGTCATCAGTGTTGCATAGTTTGCTCACCAGAGGGCGCTCTGCAGCTCCTCTGTTAACATCAGAAAACCACAAAAGAAAACATTCAGCTGACCGGCGTCTACCTTTGTCACGTCAATTACATGACTTAAATAATACTAAAAACAGACCAAATCACTTCTCTCCTCCTGAGAACATTCATGATTTGCTAACCCCTCCTGTTTTTCACTGCCCTCTCCCGGCTTCCTCCCGGCTCACAGCAGTATGTTTAATGTTACGGTAGTTGGGTGTTTGATGTATCTACATGATTGTAGATTTATTTTTGAAATGTTACAGCTGCTAATGCTGTCAGTTGCTAAATTAGCCATTATCAGTGGAGGAGTGCCAACGTAATGAGCCGTTAAACTATAGTTTCTGATGTATTCTAAATATATCTGCGAGCCGCCTGTCTGCAGTTATTTACCGCCGTGTCAGATATGATTAAACCAGAGGGGACATGTAAATAAATGTGAGCTGAACAAGAATGTAACACGACTTCCTGTAGCTCCTCTTGTGTGACCTAGTAGATGTGAAACGTAGTCAGAGCCGTAACGACTCAGGTTGTAGTTATAACGTTGGTTAAATGAAATCTCAAAGCTGCAGATCCTTGTCGTAGACAGTCATGTAGTTATAGATGCATTCAACAGCAGCTCACTGTCTCATAGATGGCATGATTTAGACAGATGGTGGTTGAGAAACACTGTAAACGTGTTGCTCTGTAAACATGACGGTAAACGTGTTGCTCTGTAAACATGACGGTAAACGTGTTGCTCTGTAAACATGACGGTAAACGTGTTGCTCTGTAAACATGACGGTAAACGTGTCGCACCGTAAACAGGATACACGGTAAACGTGTCGCACCGTAAACAGGATACACGGTAAACGTGTCGCACCGTAAACAGGATACACGGTAAACGTGTCGCACCGTAAACAGGATACACGGTAAACGTGTCGCACCGTAAACAGGATACACGGTAAACGTGTCGCTCCGTAAACAGGATACAGGGTAAACGTGTCGCACCGTAAACAGGATACAGGGTAAACGTGTCGCACCGTGCACATGACACAGGGTAAACGTGTCGCACCGTGCACATGACACAGGGTAAACGTGTCGCACCGTGCACATGACACAGGGTAAACGTGTCGCACCGTGCACATGACACAGGGTAAACGTGTCGCACCGTAAACAGGACACAGGGTAAACGTGTCGCACCGTAAACAGGACACAGGGTAAACGTGTCGCACCGTGCACAGGACACAGGGTAAACGTGTCGCACCGTGCACAGGACACAGGGTAAACGTGTCGCACCGTGCACATGACACAGGGTAAACGTGTCGCACCGTGCACATGACACAGGGTAAACGTGTCGCACCGTGCACATGACACAGGGTAAACGTGTCGCACCGTGCACATGACACAGGGTAAACGTGTCGCACCGTAAACAGGACACAGGGTAAACGTGTCGCACCGTAAACATGTGTTGCAGTGTATACTTATCGCAGTGTAATAATGGTGTGTTACAGTGTAAACATGATTCCCCCCCCCCCCCCCCCCCAGGTAAGTAACCCGGCCACACGCATGTTGAAGACGGCTGCTGCTCAGGTGGGCGGAGCCTCTGTAGTCTCCACCCCAGGAACCCCCAGCCGACCAATCATCACGGTTCATAAGTCCGGAACGGTGACCGTCTCCCAGCAGGCTCAGGTGGTCACCACAGTGGTGGGCGGAGTCACAAAGACCATCACTCTCGTTAACAGTCCACTCAGTGTGGGGGGAGGCGGAACTCTGGTGAGTGGTGAATATTTTATAAATGTTTTACACAACCAAGCAAAGAACCAGACAACACAGATATTACTAAACAACAACAACACAAGAATAAACAAATTAGTAATATACATATTAATTACATTCTTCACATTTTTGTATACATTAGTGCCATGTCAAAGGAACAAACGGCATCTATCATGTTCATTTTAAACAAATATTTTACTCCTCCCTTCAGATTGGTAACCTGGGTAACCTTGGTAACCTCAGTAACCTGGGGAAGGTGGTGTCAGTGGTCCAGACCAAACCGGTTCAGAGTGGCTCGATTACTAGTCAAGCTGGGAGCAACGCCATCACCCAGTTCCTGCAGGTACCACACCTACACTCTGAACTCAGCAATGCAAATGGTCCACGGGGCCCTCACTGGGGTTTGTGCTTGTAGGAGTCATGAACTGATTTATTGCAAGTTTAGGATCATTGTTGCACATTCTTGGTTAGTCACGTGGATGTGGGGGGGGGGGGGGGGGGAGATTTCTGTATAGTTAATCTACACACCTGTTGGACTCCAGCCGGAGACACGGGGAGTGTTCGCTGTTCCTGCTACACTGTTAAAGGTCTTCTGTGTTAACTAAAAACTATATACTGAACTATGCTAAGCTACTGCATTTAGTAGTTAACACTAACAGCAGAACCCCCCCCCCGTATCAGACAAAGGGCGGCCTCCCACCCGGAACCATCTTGAAGTTGGTGACATCAGCAGACGGTAAACAGACCACCCTCCTCAGCACCGCGCAGGCCGGATCAACTCCAACCAAACAAACCATCCTTGGCGTCGCTCCGGCTTCCTCCAAACCCGGGACCACAATCATCAAGACCATCCCAATGTCAGCACTGCAGGGGGGGGCAGGTACGGGAAGAACACACCTTGACACACAGCACAGCTTTTTATTTTAAATTGGATGATTGGCTGAGTGAAGCTCCTCCCGCCGCCTACAGGTGGTAACAGTCCGTTCACGATCCTGACCACCAAGATGGTGACACCAGGAAGTGCCGGAAAAATCATCACCACCGTCCCCAAAATCACTGCAGCCGGCCAGCAGGGCCTCACACAGGTGACGCACACACACACACACACACACACACACACACACACACACACACATTTTGAAAACCGGACGTTGTCACATCTTCACGCTTAGGTCACAAAGCTAACTTTACCGTGTTCTTACAAACGAGTGACAGAAACGGTCAAAGATGGTCAGACCTTTGGTTAACGCCACTGTACTGACCTCAAAATAAAAGTGGCGTGTGTAAGCGCGCGAGCTGACAGCAGCGAGTCAAAGCGTTAAAGATCTTTAAATGTTATCAGAGGTGTAAAAGTATTTTCGGTCTATGGCGGAACACATTAGGCGTAGCGGGCCGCCGCAGTCTTGCTGATTAATGGGAAATGCTGTGAGACCAGCTGCAGACGGAGAACAGCTGTTCATGTGGCGTGAGGTTTTGGTCCAGATGGGGGTGTCTGAAAAAGGTTGTGTTCAGGGTGGGAGGGGTCGGCCACAGTCTGTCTGTGGGTTAGAGGATTGCAGCCAGTCACCTCTCTCTGCGGCGCGAATGACACGTAGAGCACAGCAGATGGTGATGGAGGAGGTGATGGCGGTGCGCTGAGCTCTTCCTCCAGGTTGTTGTGACTGCTGATGGTCCGAGAGTTATGCTGCGTTCCAGGCAACTCGGAACTGTGAAATATCCCACCTCCAACTAGGAAAAGTACCATGGGAGGAAAAGTACCATGGGAGGAAAAGTACCATGGGAACGCCACCAGAAGTCAGATTTCCTACGTGTGAACTCGGAGAAAAAAGATGACTTCACGAGTAGCCGCCGAGTGACGTCACACAACAGCGGCAGCTCCCGTGGAAGCACACACTGTATACTGTGGTAAACCATAAACTAAAAGGCAAAGTAAAGTATTAAATTAAAATAAGACATACTCGTATCAAACAGTAAAACTTGTTCTGCAGGTAAATTGCAGGGGTTTTCCCGCATAGAGAAATTTTTGGCGCCCCCTAAAGAGGTTTTAGCAAGTGCCAAAGGAAAATCCTCAGCGCCAAAATGATCAGAATTGGGGGGAAAAAAACAAAACTTTCAAATCCTCTCCGAATGTGTTTTAATAGTCATTTATCAAACGCCTGTTGAACAAGCAGAACATAAACATAAATACGACGTCTTTGACTTCCAGCAGTCGCCTCTCTGCTCATCCACAGCGGCTGCATTTTACACGTGCAGCAGGCGCTGGATTAATAAACCAGCTGCTGCGTTGGTTTGACCGCGCCTGAACGCTCCGTTACGAAGCTCGCGCTAATGGCTTCCTGTTATTTCTCACAAGAGAAAGTGTGCCGGTATTCACCGGTACTGTCACTTTTACATTTTACTCTTTGGCGTACCGGCACCGGTTCTCTCCTCTGCGCTCTCCAGATCAGGTTCTCTGGGCTCCACGTGACGCTCACCTGGTTCTCACCTGCCTGCTGATCGCCACAGGGAGATCGGAGCATTTCATGCAGCCGTGTGCGTTAGCTGCTCGTCAAAGTCACTTTTCGTTAACTGACCGATCACAGCCTGGAGGAGGCGGGACATTAAAAAAGGTTGAGGCACTACAGCAAACTTGAGAAATGTTTAACTCGTCGTTCTGTATGCACAGTTTTTATTTCTGACAAGTTCATTTGCATAAACAAATGAGAGACTGACCATGTAGAGCATTTTTCTTGCACAATAATTTAGTGACTGAAAACAACCCACAGAAACTGCAGTTTTGTCCAACTGGAAATAATATTAGAGGCTACTAATGGTGAGCTAAATTATAATGAATCCACAAACATCAGCACTAATCAAACCTTAACCACAGTGCTGTAGGCTGATACCAGAAAACCGTTTTATTTGTGAAACAGCTGAATCTCTATTAATAAACTAAAATAGATTATTATACTAACACTATACTTTCTATTTAATGTTATATATATTTTGTTTATCAAATGGTCAAATAACAAGAAAATGCATAGATTTTGGTCATTAGGTAAGTTATTGCCTTTAGTGCAAAGTCACCCCCCAAAGTCCCGTTCTGAGCCAGGAAAAACCCTGAATTGATGTAGAAACATTTTGCCAGTGTCATTAAGTAGCTGGTTACAGTAAAGAATCTCTGAAAGTCGTCTTCTCTATCCAAAGATTATTCAGGAAAATCTGGAACGCCCAGAACTGTGAGAACATTTGGAAACGTAGCCTCCAACGTCTGCTGACTTTTGAAGATTACCAGCTGATGTAGCTGGAAGGACACACGGTTAACGAGTAACATCTGTTTATCACTTGTTTTTAATAAAATGGCCGTCCTTATGAGGGATCTGTGCTGCTGACTCACCACTAAAGGAAAAAGCACTCGCAGAGTTCTTCATTCAGAGTTAACAAAATTAGTCTTCTTTGTTTACTTTCTAAAAACGGATCAAAAACTTAAATTTCTTTTCTACAACTGAAAGTGATCAATAAACTATTTCACTCCCCTCTCATTAAAATACAAAAACAACTTCGTCTGATTGATTATTTCGTCCGGACGACCTGATCAGGATGACGAGCGATCTGACACAAGTTTCCAATATTTTTATACAACAGTTATTTCCAACAATAACGAAGAAAAGAAAATCGGTCACCTTGCTCATCCATAACAACAATAATAATAATACCAATCAACTACTACGGCGATTGAAGTACTCTGTTGGTACTCTTTTAGGGTACCAGTTCTACTGGTATTGTAAAATTTCTGTAGCCGACACTTTAACATCCAGAAATTGGAGACTCGGACTTGAGTCCTACTTAAGTCGCACACACAATGACTTCAGACTCGACTCGAACTCGAGGTGCGGGACTCGTGAACAATGTTTATTTTTAATAAACGTCCGATGAGCTACAATATCAACGCTGACCGCCACATATTGATGTATTTTTTTTGCTAGGCCTATTTAAAATCATATTTGATTGCAGAGCGCCGTAGCACATTAGCACAGCACATCCTCTCGCTCATCCCTCTCTCACTCCTTCATGAACACAGCTGCACAAATCTGTCCAACACAACGCTGTCAATGTCGGAGACCCAGCTTAAAAAAAGTTATTAGCAAGCATGTAAGGACCCTAGCTAATAAGGAGAGCTAAGTTAATGTTAGAAACACCTGGGTTTTTGAGGCTAGCACGCTGTATATAGATGGTGGTCAATATCAACTGCACGCGCACGACCCCCCCACACGCCACAGTTACACTGTCATTCTGTGGGAGACACTGAGCTATATTAGCAGCCTGGATTAAACGCAGCAGGTGATAAAACATTCATTATAGAGACTTGACTTGACTTGGACTCTAGTTCAGTGACTTGACTTGGACTCTAGTTCAGTGACTTGACTTGGACTCTAGTTCAGTGACTTGACTTGGACTCTAGTTCAGTGACTTGACTTGGACTCTAGTTCAGTGACTTGACTTCGACTCTAGCTCAGTGACTTGACTTGGACTCTAGTTCAGATACTTGACTTGGACTCTAGTTCAGATACTTGACTTGGACTCTAGTTCAGAGACTTGACTTGGACTCTAGTTCAGTGACTTGACTTGGACTCTAGTTCAGTGACTTGACTTGGACTCTAGCTCAGTGACTTGACTTGGACTCTAGCTCAGTGACTTGACTTGGACTCTAGCTCAGTGACTTCACTTGGACTCTAGTTCAGTGACTTGAGACTTGACTTGGACTCTAGCTCAGAGACTTGAGACTTGACTTGGACTCTAGCTCAGAGACTTGAGACTTGACTTGGACTCTAGCTCAGAGACTTGAGACTTGACTTGGACTCTAGCTCAGAGACTTGAGACTTGACTTGGACTCTAGCTCAGAGACTTGAGACTTGACTTGGACTCTAGCTCAGAGACTTGAGACTTGACTTGGACTCTAGCTCAGAGACTTGAGACTTGACTTGGACTCTAGCTCAGAGACTTGAGACTTGACTTGGACTCTAGCTCAGAGACTTGAGACTTGACAGAACCTGAACCGTCTGAGGTCTGGATCAGCCGGTACAAATGTGTGGTTCTGTGTTCAGGTTCTGTTGAAAGGCGCTCCGGGGACACCTGGTACGATCTTCAAGACCGTCCCGATGAGCGGAGTCAGACTGGTGTCACCGGGCGCCGTCGGCACCAAACCTGCCTACACCACGCTGGTAGTCAAGTCCACCACAGGTAAACGCTGCTCAGGTGCTCGGCTGTAACGCTGACTCAGCGTCCGTCTCTGAGCGGCTCCGATAGGTGTGTTTGTGTCTCAGGTGTGTCCAGTCTGGGGACGGCAACAGGAAGCGTCTCCACTGCCGTAGCAGGAGGAGCTGTCGCTGTCGCCAACGCCTCCCTGGCAACGCCCATCACCACGCTGGCAACCATCGCCACATTGGCCAACCAGGTCACCACGGCAACTCCCACCACCACAGGACCCAAACAGGTAACGAGACTGACGGCGCGGCGCTGTACTTTACTCTTGTACTACAGTAGTACTACTGCAGTTTTATATCTCTGTAATGTAGTAATACTGCAGTTCTGTGTGTGCAGGTGACTCTGATCACAACTCCGAGCGGCGCCGAGGCTCAGCCGCTGGTCCAGGATCTGCCCGTCTCCATTATGGCTTCTCCTACTTCAGAAGAACCTGGAAGTACTACAAGTACCACTACTACTACTACTACTGCAGGGGGAGAGGCTGGAGACACTGCAGCTCCTACAGGTAAAGAAAGTATTACTACTACTGCAGATTCTAGTATTAGTTCTAGCTACTGTACTGGATGGGTCAGAATACTGCAGTACTACCTCACAGTGCAGTAAACTGTGATGGTGATGTGAATAATCATGATGTCACTGTGATGATGCTGCAGTGACGTTGGTCTGCTCCAACCCGCCCTGCGAGACCCACGACACCGGCACCACCAACACCGCCACCGTGGCCACCGCAACCATGGGCGGTAACGACCGAGCGTGCTCCAACCCGCCCTGCGAGACCCACGAAACCGGCACCACCAACACCGCCACCGTGGCCACCGCAACCATGGGCGGTAACGACCGAGCGTGCTCCAACCCGCCCTGCGAGACCCACGAAACCGGCACCACCAACACCGCCACCGTCGCCACCGCAACCGTGGGCGGTAACGACCGAGCGTGCTCCAACCCGCCCTGCGAGACCCACGAAATCGGCACCACCAACACCGCCACCGTCGCCACCGCAACCATGGGCGGTAACGACCGAGCGTGCTCCAACCCACCCTGCGAGACCCACGAAACCGGCACCACCAACACCGCCACCGTGGCCTCCGCCAGCCTGAGCCAGGTGCTGCAGGTGAGCTGACGTGTTCTCGTTCAGTACTGACTGGTTCTGCCCTGTAGCATGAACTGATGTGGAGCCGCCGCCGCCGCAGGGCAGTTGGCATTTCCTGTGGTTGTGCGTTAATTCAGACGCACATTTAAATCACAGCAGTCAAACTAAAACAAGCTGATCACAGATTCACCTGAAGGACAAATGTTTATATATTCAGGTATGAAGGTGATTGTTGACGTCTGTAAACTAAACAATCTGTACAGTAGTACTGCTGTAGTTTTGTCTCTGGACTGTAGTACTGCTGTAGTTTTGTCTCTGGACTGTAGTACTACTGTAGTTTTGTCTCTGGACTGTAGTACTGCTGTAGTTTTGTCTCTGTACAGTAGTACTACTGTAGTTTTGTCTCTGGACTGTAGTACTGCTGTAGTTTTGTCTCTGGACTGTAGTACTGCTGTAGTTTTGTCTCTGTACAGTAGTACTACTGTAGTTTTGTCTCTGTACAGTAGTACTGCTGTAGTTTTGTCTCTGGACTGTAGTACTACTGTAGTTTTACGTCTGTAGTAGTTTTGTGTTTGTACTGTAGTACTGCTGTAGTTTTGTCTCTGGACTGTAGTACTGCTGTAGTTTTGTCTCTGGACTGTAGTACTGCTGTAGTTTTGTCTCTGGACTGTAGTACTGCTGTAGTTTTGTCTCTGGACTGTAGTACTACTGTAGTTTTACGTCTGTAGTAGTTTTGTGTTTGTACTGTAGTACTACTGTAGTTTTGTCTCTGTACAGTAGTACTGCTGTAGTTTTGTCTCTGTACAGTAGTACTGCTGTAGTTTTGTCTCTGTACAGTAGTACTACTGTAGTTTTACGTCTGTAGTAGTTTTGTGTTTGTACTGTAGTACTGCTGTAGTTTTGTCTCTGGACTATAGTACTGCTGTAGTTTTGTCTCTGGACTGTAGTACTGCTGTAGTTAACTTAGCAATGTGTTTGTTTCAGGTCTGTTCCAACCCCCCATGTGAGACTCACGAGACCGGGACCACCAACACGGCCACCACAGCCGGAGCTGGAGGACTCAGACAGGTGAGACACTTCGAAGAAGATGGAGACGGTAAAACAAAGATCGGACTCACGACGCAGTTGCACACGGCGCTTTCTCACTATTTTCCGGGAGTGTTGCACCATTTTGCCGACTCTCTCTGCGCTGTGTGACAGTTACGAGGCCGGAAGGGGAGTGTGATTGGATCGGCCTCTGAGCCGGGAACGTTGGTAACAGAGATGACTTTAGGGGTGTCAGCTAATGTACTGGTGCAGTAACACCTCTGGGACAAAAATCACTTTGCGCACTTTGATGACAGCAGCCGTGTTTCCATCGTTTATTAATGCACATTTTGAAGTATCGCTTTAGAAAAGGTTGATGGAAACGTCTCGTTTAGGGTCCTGGTCTGAGGCCGTGCAGGGCTCCAGCCAAGTGTACTCTGATGATCAGTGATTGGTTAAAGGTGCTGATGTCCGACAATCACTTTTTCTCAGGTGTGTTCAAATCCACCATGTGAAACTCACGAGACCGGGACCACCAACACCGCCACCACAGCCGGAGCTGGAGGACTCAGACAGGTGAGGGAACACCTGACCCTGCCAGGTGTACTCGGGTAAGGCCATTGGTTAAAGGCGCTGGTGTCGGTGCACTAAACGGTCTGTTGTTTTTTTTCAGGTCTGTTCCAACCCTCCGTGTGAGACTCACGAGACCGGGACCACCAACACGGCCACCACAGCTACAGGTAACCTGCCGACGCACCTGGAGCCTCATGTCTAACCGTTGAAACAAGCGTGATGTCACTTCCTGTCCTCTCGTCTCCAGCTCAGCAGGGTGGAGACGGCGAGCAGGTCGACTCCACAGACCCCGGCTCCTCCGCCGACCCCGCCTCCTCCACCGCAGCCAGTCAGAGCAGAGCTGTTACTACGGTTACACAGGCCACACCCACCCCCGGGCCATCCATACCTGTAAGTAACGCACACAAACTCGTCGTCGTCATCGTCTCTGATGTCCCATGATCCCCCTCTGTCTGCGTGCAGGAGATCTCCTCATTGGTCGGCGAGAGCAGGGCAGAGTCGTCTGAGGCGGAGGCTGTTGCCATGGTAACTGCAGCGGAAGGGGAGGAGTCCATGCAGACGGACAGCCAATCAGGGCTTGTGATGTCATCAACAGCTTCAGTGTTACAGGTTCATGTGGAGGGCAGCGAGGCGGCGGCACAGGTACGCACGCACGCACGCACGCACGCGCACACACGCACACACACAGATAACCAATCAGCTCGTCCCTCTCAGATGGACAGCAGCCTTCCTCAGGAACTGATGTCATCAGAAGGGGACAGAGGCGAGGTGGTTTCCGGGGCGACGACCCTGATGGTGACGGGGCTGACCTCTGATCACATGTCTGTTACCGCGGCAACAGAGGAGGCAGTTCAGCAGGCGACGATACAGGCGGTGCTGCGGGCGGCCGGACACGTCGGTGAGACACGCGGATGCCGGTTCAGAACTGATCACCTGGACCTGGTTTGTCTTCAGGTGGATCACGTTTGTCTCTGTGTCTGAGCAGGAGACGGTTCGGAGGACCAGTCCATCCCCATCATCCTGACCCAGCAGGAGCTGGCGGCTCTGGTCCAACAGCAGCAGCAGCTGCAGGACGCCCACAACCAACCAGAACCAGCAGAACCAGAACCACAGCACAGCAGCGTGCCCACAGGTAGCTCGCCGCTGGTCCTGAGCAGAGAGTCTGATGTTTGTATCCTACCTGGATCAGAAGTTTAAAGGGTCACCGTGGAGTTTAAACATTCTTTACGTCAACAACAAATCATTGATTAGTCTGTCAACAGATTAATCTGCAGCTGCTTTACTAATCACTAAACCATCTGAGCAAATCTCTGCTCAGTGTTTTGCTTTTCTTTGTCTCACATCGTTGGAAAATTAAAACCTGTTGGACCAATAAAACGAGCAGCTCTGTGAAATAATTACATTGATTGATAATGAAAATAATTGATGACATATAAAGACATGTTGTCATGTTTTTTAATAGTAACGTAGGAATTAATATTCATGAGTAATTATAAAGATGTTTCTGCTTTATGGTCATTCAGTAAATCTGAACAACAGCTGATGACTGAAACATCTTTACAGAAATAAGAGATTAAGAAGAACGAAAAACTATTTCTGTTTTCTTATTGGTCTGCTTCAGATCATAATTTGAGTTCTTAATTCATTTGTTCAGCTGCTTTTGTCCTCCTGTCGTGTCTAATAAAGTTATTTGAACCCTGCCTCTTGTTTCCCAGAGGGCCTTGCTCCAGCAGACAGCCTGAACGACCCGACAGCAGAGGGTAACGGACACGAGCTGACGTCATCGGCAGTGACGAGCGCTGTGGCCCGATTGGCCAGTACGTTTGGCCCCGCCCCCTCTCTGACGGCCAGCCCGGCTAAGATTCAAACTGCGCCGCCCACCGAGGTCACCAATGGCATCACGGCGACTGCAGGGGTGAGAGACGCAACGCTGCTGAGCAACAGCAGGGGGCAGAATGACGCTAACATGCTAACTCTGTGTGTGTGTGTGTGTGTGTGTGTGTGGAAGCAGGACGTCCAGGTGAGATCATCAACGAGGGACAATCAGTGGTATGACGTCGGCATCGTCAAGGTGACCAACATGGTGGTCACTCATTACTACGTCCCCTACGACAACAACATGGCTGACGTAAGAAACTTTAGTTAATAATCAAAATAAAGCAACCCCTCACAACACCCACTGTTTAACGGTGATCGGCTGTTTATTAATCTGCCATCGGCTGTTTATTAATCTGCCATCGGCCGTTTATTAATCTGCCATCGGCCGTTTATTAATCTGCCATCGGCCGTTTATTAATCGGCCATCGGCCGTTTATTAATCTGCCATCGGCCGTTTATTAATCGGCCATCGGCCGTTTATTAATCTGCCATCGGCCGTTTATTAATCGGCCATCTGCCGTTTATTAATCGGCCATCTGCCGTTTATTAATCGGCCATCTGCTGTTTATTAATCTGCCATCGGCTGTTTATTAATCTGCCATCGGCCGTTTATTCATCAAAGATCTTGATTCAACAGCAACCTGTGTTTTCAAAATAAAAGCACCAATGACCTACAAAAAGCTACGCTTGTTCAGATTACTGATATTGATCCAGTTATCGATGATGCATCTACCTGCAGGATGACTCAGGTGTGATACCAGACTACAGTCAGATGAAGAAGGTGGAGCTGCAGCCGGGGACGGCCTATAAGTTTCGGGTTGCGGGGATCAATATCTGCGGCCGCGGAGCGTTCTCAGAGGTGTCGGCGTTTAAAACGTGTCTTCCTGGTTTCCCCGGAGCGCCGTGCGCCATCAAGATCAGCAAGGTGAGACACTTCAGAGTCCAGAAAAGGTTGTGCCCGTGTCACTGCTGATCTCCGGTCTGTGTTAAACTCTTTCACTGTGGTCCTGCAGAACCTGGACGGGGCTCAGCTGACCTGGGAGCCTCCTGCCGTCACATCAGGGAAGATCACAGAGTACTCTGTGTACCTGGCCATCCAGTCCAGCCAGGCCGCCGCCTCCAGTTCCGGTTCCGGACCGGCCCAGCTGGCTTTCATGAGGGTCTACTGTGGTCCCAATCCGTCCTGCCTGGTCCAGGCCTCCAGCCTCGCCAACGCCCACATCGACTACACAACCAAGCCTGCCATTATCTTCCGTATCGCCGCTCGCAACCAGAAGGGCTACGGGCCAGCCACGCAGGTCCGGTGGCTACAAGGTGAGACGAATAATCGGGAAGGGCTACGGGGCGGGAAAAAGTAGGAAGTCAGAGGAAGAAACAAGCTGTAGTGTTAGTGAGGCTTCTATTAACGAGGTTAGTGTTAATGAGGTTCATAGTAGTGAGGCTTGTCGTAGCGTTCATACCATTCTGTATATGATGAAAATCATAAAAATGTATCATTTTATTTAATTACTGTTTAAGCATTTCTGGTTAGATGCCATCTGCATTTCGTTGCTTTGTGCCTTAGGCTGGCCACTATAAAAGGCCTTAGGCTGGCCACTATAAAAGGCCTTAGGCTGGCCACTATAAAAGGCCACTCCAAAATGTGCAGTTTTACTATATTGGAAGGGTCTGGGAGGGTACGGGAAACCAGTCAGTATCTGGTGTGACCACAATTTGCCTCACGCAGAGTTGATCCGGTTGTTGATTGTGGAGTGTTGGTCCACTCCTCTTTAATGGCTGTGCGAAGTTGCGGTCAGGTCGAGACCCCAATGAGGCCGACGAGCATGTAGATGAGCTTCCCTGAGACGTTTCCTGACAGTTTGTTCAGAAATTCTTTGGTTATGCAAACCGATTGTTGCAGCAGCTGTCCGGGAGGCTGGTCTCAGACCATCTTGGAGGTGAAGATGCTGGATGTGGAGGTCCTGGGCTGGTGTGGTTACACGTGGTCTGCGGTTGTGAGGTCAGTTGGATGTTTTGCCAAATTCTCTGAAACGCCTTTGGAGACGGATTATGTTAGAGAAATGAACACTCAATTCACGGGCAACAGCTCCGGTGGACATTCCTGCAGTCAGCATGCCGACTGCACGCTGTGCTGTGTGATGGAACTGCACATTTTGGAGTGGCCTTTTATTGTGGCCAGTCTAAGACACACTTGTGCAATTCCCATGCTGTCTGATCAGCACCTGTGAGGTGGATGGATTATCTCGGGAAAGGAGAAGTGCTCACTAACACAGATTTGTGAACAGTATTTGAGAGAAATAGGCCTTTTGTGTACATAAAGAAAGTCTCAGATCTTTGAGTTCAGCTCATGATGAATGGGGGCAAAAACAAAAGTGTTGCCTTTATAGTTTTGTTCAGTGTAGTAGTGAGGTTTGTATTAATGAGGTTCGTAGTAGTGATGTCTGTATTTTTGTTCTCCTGTAGAAAGCAGTAAAGATGCCAAACCAGCAGTGAAGAGACCCGGAGCGTCTCCTGACATGTAAGAACTGATTATATTAACTAACACATACAGGAAATATATACTTTATATATAGTGACATCATATCAATGCACTTATACTGTTAATTAGTTTTGTATAAACCGTCTGTAAATGGACCAAAACCATATTCAAAAAAAAACATTAAGCTTTTTATGTTGCTGCAAACTGCTGTAACTCTAAACTCTTACCGCTGTATTATAAACTATTTCCATTTAATAAAACCGAATCGGAAAAATCTTGTTTTTTGGTTTTGAAACTAAATAATTAAAACACGCGGATACACGGATTAATTTAGTTCATCACGTTACGTTTGTTTGGCAGCAACTTAAAATAAAAACTTTGAACCTTTGACATCACTGTGACCTCACCAGTAAAATGCTAATGCCATCAACACTGTTTTGTTTATTTTCCGGTCTTCAGGAAACCTGTTGGACCAAAGAAGTTCAGAACAGACCAATAGGAGGAGCCGACCTGCTGAGGAGGACTGTGATTTGCTGTTGTTGTTGTCTTAAGCTCCACCCTGAAGCTGGTGACCGTGTCAACTCTGACAGCTTCCTGTCCCAACAGGAAACAGACAAAATAAAAGACTTGTAGGATATTTGTACATTATCGACCAATCAGAACTCTTTTTCTCCTTGATTTTGTTTTGGTTGTCATGGAGACGGCGATGGGCGGAGTCAACAGCTTTTCACCTTTAAATGGAAATAATAAAGTTTGAGTTTATAGAACTAGAAGTAGCTGTCTGTCTCGGTGTCTCTCACCCTCTGAGGTCACGATGAAGTTCAGTGGTCGCGCCGCTTTTGGGGGCGGGGTCCCTGCAGGGGGCGGGGCTTAAACTGCTCTGTAAATTATTGTTTTTCTGTAGCATCAAAATTTTTTGTTTTTCCTTTTTTTTATATATAAATGTGTTTAAGAAAAGAAGTGTTATTTCTTCTGTGGTTTGTTTCTTCTGTTCTCGAAGTGTTTGTTGGCCGCAGTGACGGAGCTCACCCATTGGACAGTTTGTCTGAGCTGGAAGTGAATGATTTTTCCTGCTGTTTGAAAATCAAACATGTTGTTTGTGAATATTCTCTTGAACAATAAAGATTTTTAGAGCATTTTTTTTACCGGCTGTGTGGAGTCCGCTTCCTGTCAGAAAAACATTTTCACATTAAAGTTATAATGTGTCAGATTTTCATCAAATCAAACACTTTGTGATTCTCTTTGTGGTTGACGTGTATTTACATCCAGTGATAACCTCAATAGTTTCATCTTTAGTGGCGGAGTTACCGCTACAGATTTAAATGACCTTCATCTGAATGTGGAGGACTGCTGTTGAGAATTAGCCAGCTAGCTAACACTGGTGTCGATTAATGTGTTGTCCTTTATATGTTTATATAGACAACACATTCTCACTTTCAACTCGTCACATGGACGCTTGGTCAAGACCCTGCGTAGTCAAGTTGGCGACAATAAATATGCAACGTCCAGTTAGACTTTCAAAATAAAACGCTAGCATTTTGAATCATCGCAATTTTGCAAAAGTACTTGGAATATTTAATGTTGACTTTTTGTTTCACACGAGACACGAAACCCGGTCTCCTGGGTTTTCACATAAAACTGAAGGGATAATAACTAATAATAAATTCTAAATTTAAGTAAACTAAAGGCTGCATTTAAAAAATGTTTTTGTAAATATGCATCATAAAATAAAAAAAATTTATTTGTTGCTCAATTTCAGAAAAGCTTTGAGTGATTGAAGTTCAGTCTCAACCACTTTTATAATTAACACTCAACACATCTTAACAAATGAACAGCTGTAATGCCTCCTCTTCTCCTTCATTCCCTCTTATATAGCTACCACGTCCCTACTTCCTCTTGTTCAGTGAGAAACGTGAGCTCTGGCTAGGATTGGTGATATCTGAGATATTCTGGTTTTGAACTGCCCGTGGGAAGAATGTACTGTAGGCCTACATGTAATTCTTTGTTAAAAGCCATGTGAAGTCTTTCCTCTATTCCTTACTGGACAAAGCCTCTCTGCTGATTTGAATGAAGAGCAGTGAAGCAAGTTTTGGACCAATAAAATACTACGACAGGGCTACTTCCTGTTGGCACCAGCGTCTATGAACACGAACCCCGGTCTCCTGGTTCATCCACCTGCTTACTCTTTCCTCTTAAATATCATATACCTACCTTTTACCGTCAGAAACTGACACTACAGGGCTTCCCCTGCTGCCTTGAAGTATGACGCGATAGCAGGGGTATTCATTTAAAATTGAAAGAGGTCCAGTTATGTATGTTCCAGAATGTGCTGTACTACATGTTGGATCTTTGTCTGCGCTACAGGGATCCCCAGTGCGTTAAAACTGACGCTGATGGGTCTTGACCATGCGTCCATGTGACAAGTCGGGGAGTGACAACGAGTGGTTTTATTACACAGAGCAACAGCAGAAACACCGTAATTCTGGTAGCTGCGCCAACAGAAAGTCTCATGGCTCAGTGTGTTTGTCTGACTCGGAACGTCTCTGTTTAATCAGCCCACCTACGAGGCTCACCTGCCGAACACCAACGCAGCGTCACTGATGGCCGAATAGTTCATTTAGATTCACAGAGAGTTTATAATCTAAGCAATACGGTTACATCTCTCGTGCGACGGGATGTCACAGGGTTTTGAAGTCGTTACATGGAAAAAGCGTATTTCTCTCAAACATTGTTTACAAATCTGTCTAAATCTGTGTTAGTGAGCACTTCTCCTTTGCCCAGATAATCCATCCACCTCACAAGTGTGCCTTATCAAGATGCTGATCAGACAGAATGGGGATTGCACAGGTGTGCCTTAGGCTGACCACAATAAAAGGCCGTAAGTTGGCCACAATAAAAGGCCATAGGCTGGCCACAATAAAAGGCCGTAAGTTGGCCACAATAAAAGGCCATAGGCTGGCCACAATAAAAGGCCTTAGGCTGGCCACAATAAAATGCCATAGGCTGGCCACAATAAAATGCCATAGGCTGGCCACAATAAAATGCCATAGGCTGGCCACAATAAAAGGCCATAGGCTGTCCACAATAAAAGGCCGTAAGTTGGCCACAATAAAAGGCCATAGGCTGGCCACAATAAAAGGCCTTAGGCTGGCCACAATAAAATGCCATAGGCTGGCCACAATAAAAGGCCTTAGGCTGGCCACAATAAAATGCCATAGGCTGGCCACAATAAAAGGCCATAGGCTGGCCACAATAAAAGGCCGTAAGTTGGCCACAATAAAATGCCATAGGCTGGCCACAATAAAAGGCCTTAGGCTGGCCACAATAAAATGCCATAGGCTGGCCACAATAAAAGGCCTTAGGCTGGCCACAATAAAATGCCATAGGCTGGCCACAATAAAAGGCCTTAGGCTGGCCACAATAAAAGGCCACTCCAAAAGGTGCAGTTTCACTGTATTGGGGGGGGTCTGGAAATAGGCCTTTTGTGTACATAGAGAAAGTCTCAGATCTTTGAGTTCAGCTCATGATGAACGGGGGCAAAAACAAAAGTGTTGCCTTTATAATTTTGTTCAGTGTAGTTACCTTTACAGGTGTAGTTTCAGCCAGAGCCAGGATGTCTTTGCCTCTTTCTTGTTATTATTGTTGTAATATAAATTGTGTGTGGTGACAGTTTTCTGTTTTATTGGATTGAACTCTTTGATTTGTTAATTTTCATGTTCAGCTCAGGGCAGCAGCAGCTCACTGAACCTGGATTGATTGAATCAATTAATTGGAAGTGTATCAGATGAAAACTAATTGATCATTAAAATCAGATTTTCTTCTTTAAACTCATCAAATATGATGAGCTGACCCCGCCCTCCCCTCTCTGCCTGATCAGTATCTATCAATAGATACTGATTTATAGAACATGATTAAAAACAATTTACAGAGTTGACAACAATCAGAGAAAATCAATGGATAAAAGCGTGAGAATCAATAATATATTTAAAATAAAAATCAGAGGATCAATCCATAAGGAACAGAGAGACGGTCCTCAGATATCGGTTATCGATCAGTTCCATCAATCAACATCAGTCTGTCTCCGTGATGCGAGTCTGTTTGTGTGCATGAACGTGCGCGTGCCCGCCGCGCTGTGCGCGCGCCTCGCGGTGCTGATGGAGCTTCATTCACTCTGAACAGAGAACCTGCTGCATCAATGAGGAGGAGGAGGAGGAAGGTGAAGAGCAGGGATCCTTCATCTGATCAGATCATCGATCCGCGATGATCGATCAGTGTCCGCAGCCGCGCTGATCAGGTGCTCTGAGTCCGCGGCGGCTGCACGAGGCGACAATCAGCGTAATCAATCACACCTGATGTGAGCCGCGGCGCGGGGAGCAGCGCGAGCCGCAGCGGGAGACAATCAGCTGACCGGAGGACACAGCGGCTCTGACTGCGGGTTCGGGACTCCGGACTGGTTTCTGGGTCACGTGACCGAAGAGCCGCAGGTGCGATCCCCGCCGGAGGTGAAGAGGCAGCGGAGGGAAATCGGCAGGTGACCCAGGTAGGAGATCTTTCACCCGCCGACACCGTCACAAACAGGGAGCACAGGTCCTCTCACATGGAGGGAACCGGACACCAGACTCCATTTAAAAGTTGGTCATTTTAAGGTTGCTTCGCTCGCCTGCAGTAAAACACGGCGGGAGAACAAAGTCGTCCTTTTCTTTTAAATCCACACGATCTGCTCATTAATTCGGCTCACCGTTAATAAACAGAAGAGTCACTTAGAGGAAAAAGACATCGTTTATTTAAACTGGTGTGATGTGATGCTGGCGCTGAAACGAGCCGTGTGTTGCGGCGGGAAACCGCTCAGATCTGACTGCAGTTTGGTGGATTTTATTCCTGTTGATTTGGATCCATCACTTAAATAAAGCCTCATTTCTGACGTGACGGAATTTGAATGTTTGATGAAGAAGAAACGTCGTTTATGTTTGTTGTTATTGGCCCCACCCAGCGCCACGTGCCCGCCGCTCTGTGTGTGTGATGTTTGTCAGACGCGAGTCGCTCCTGATCTCTGAGCGACCAGCGGTCTGATCATGTTACAGTAATCAGTCTCTAGACTTTCTCCACTGTTAAAGCAGCAGCGTTGAAGCTTCCTTCATCTTGTTTGTTTGTTTGTTTGTTTGTTTGTTTACAGCCAGGATCGTTTTCATGATATGATCAAAAGCTCCGGAAGGTTAAATGGCCCCTTTATGTTCTTTATAGTAATTAAAGTAAACAGAAGTTTAGAGAATCATGAAACCTGAATCTGTCAGCGAAGGAGAGAAACCAGCCAATCAGAGAGCAGACAGATGGTCACATGACTGTAGATTCATTATTTATATTTTTGTCTCTTCTGCTGCAGAAAATGGAAACTAAAAAGCAGCAACAGTTTCAGGATCCTATCAGCTAAAATATATAAAATAATATTAAATATGTAATCAAAGTTTTGGAAAAAGTCTTAACGCAGATCAACAATGAAACGTATCGATGTCTCAAATCTTCTGACGGTTTGTGGTTCAGATTTCTAGCAGCCGCCCGAGTGAGCTGAGGTGGAAGAAGTACTCGGGTTACTGCAGTAAAAGTACCACTTTGGTTCTGAGCTGGTTTCAGACACGTGCACCTCAGCAGCCAATCACAGAAACACCTGGTTCAGGACTCACCTGAGCCAGCCCTGAATATAAGCTTTATCAAAAGCCACGTTTCCACCGAAAGTACCCCGAACTCTTAGTCCCAGGATCTACTTTACAAGGAAGTCAAAGGTTCGTTGTTGACCAGCTGAGCAGCAGAGCGACGGACACGCATCATTATTCAGTAAGGTCACTTTCTATGAGCAAAACGGAGATATGAACTTCAGATTTGATGAAATATAATGAAAGAAACACTTTTTTGCACGGAACAGCTTTATTAGTGTTTTTAATGTTTTAATGTCCGTTTGCTTTGGAGAGAAGACGACCTCGGTGGTCATCCGTCTCCTCCTGAGCGATCAACACCCAAGTAAAACCAAACTGAGCTCACGTTAGCAGCTCAGCGCGCAGGTGACAATTTAACATGCGTTATTACCTGAAACTTAAAACAATAACTCTGGACCCAGTTTCTAGCTAAACTCAGCCGTTCGCTGCTGTTTCAGAGTTGTAAATATCATGCAGACGTACGATCTCAGGTCGACATCGGGACGGCCGAGACTTCAGTCTCGAGACCGAGTCAACGGTGAAAAAGAGAAGAGCAGCAGCAGCAGCAGCAGGGCAGGGAAAGTTCTTAATTTAGACCCTGGTTCCTGCAAAGGTTCCTAGTTCTGGGGTGAAGTTCCTGCGGTGGAAAAGGAAAGCGCTGTGGTGTCTGCCTCCTGAACCCAAACTGGAACCTGGTTCCACAGGAGAGGAGCTTGATAGCTGAACGCTCTGGCTCCTAGTCTACTTTTGGAGACTCTAGGAACCACAGGTGCATTCTGGGAGCGCAGTGCTCTGGTGGGGTAGTAAGGTACTATGAGCTCTTTAAGATAAGATGGTGCCTGACCATTAAGAGCTTTGTAGGTAAGAAGAATGATTTTACAGGAAGAAACGTGATTCCAGCAACATGTACTTTAACTATCAAAGTAAAACATGATATTAACTTATTATATGTTTAATTTTTGCTGGGAGCACCGAAGGTCCTGAAAGATGTTTCCCTTTTTAAATCATATGATGAAGATAATTGTTTGTTTTATCAAGTCAGTATCTTCGGCTGTTGGTCATGTGATTTTTGCTTTATATATTTTCCAAACATACGTCACATTAGACATAATGAAAGAGTGGCTTCGGTCCGTTACGTAAAGCTCGTGGTTTTGTTTAAAATAGGTCACGTTATGTAAGTCGTCTACGAAACGTTACTTAAAACTTTAAGTTGACTTTCTTTCACACCGAACTCGACCCCTGGTGTTTACCTGACTCATCCATCCACCCCACCACCTCCCTACACGGACTTTCTCTTTATACTACGTCACCTGACTACTACAAAAAAACCTAAACACGTGTCGTATTAAGTGCCATGTCAGGTCGCTCCTTCAAACTTCACTACGCTTTGGTTTTTCATCTGGTTTTTCCGGCTTTATTGCTGAAACACGAGTCAGCTCTGACAAACATTGGAAAAGGAAGACCGGGTCTTTGGATTAAAGAGCAGCGGACCTTCGATGATCCACCAGCCATATTAACCAAACCAGGCGCCACGCTGGGTGACGGTGACTCTTTTTTGCCAACTAAACAACCTTGTAGGAACGCACGATCCGACTGTTTCAGTCCCGATACCTGGACTTGAGGTCCGATGGCGAGTACCGATCTGATCCCAGTGTAAAAAGGAATCAGCTGTGTTCCTCACTGTGAGGACGAGACTGGGGATCATTCTGTTGGAAGGCGACGTCAAATTCTACGTTAGCTCCCCTACGTTAGCTCCCCTACGTTAGCTCCCCTACGTTAGCTCCCCTACGTTAGCGGAACGACGTTAGCTCCCCTACGTTAGCGGAACGACGTTAGCGGAACTACATAACCGAAACCTGATCCAGCGGTTTGAGTCCGGATCGGATCGTTGCATCAGTATTAACAAGCGGCTGCATAATCCACCGTGTTTCTGGTGAGGACGAGCTGGAACACTGAGAACACAAGCTCTAAACAGTCTGAAGAACCAAAGAGTTCTTTGACCCGTTCACTCGAGCCTGTCGGACTCTAAAAGTTCAGTTTGATGGTCTTCAAAGAAAACACGAGGGGTTCTGATGTGACTGAACATCCTGAGAGTCTTTAATCTGTAACGAGCACGTATTTTGACAGGTGGATGAGCTGCAGGAGATTTAAGTACTTTACTCGTACTTACAAGTACTTTGAGTAAAGTACTTGGTTACTGCCTCAGTGCGTAGTGAGGAGAGAGCAGCTGCGTCTGTTCATCCGATGAACTCGATGAATGAGTTTTCATTTTGAAGGGGATGAATCCGACTCCTTCGTCCTCTTCACTTATTCGTTTGAAAAAAGTACTACAGTATAAAAGTACTTCACTACAAGTTAAAGTACTGCGTCTGTTTCTTCCACTTGATTGGCGTTTACCTCGAGTCAGACTCTGTTCATAAAAGTTCCAGTTTTGTTTGGGTTTGGCGGCTTCATAGTTCTCAGCAGACGAGAAGTAGTTCAACACGTGGAGGCGTGAGCACATGCACCTGGCTCTCTGATGTCACTAATAAACCCCGCCCACTGCCAGCTGGTCAAAAACAAAGCAGGAAGTCAGTCGTATGAGCGAACTCGACCTGACCTGAGTTCAAATCTCTGGCGTTTTGTTTTAAAGTTTCTGTTCCTGCGTGTTGAACTCCTGAAATGAAGCTGGTCGTCGTCGTCTTCTTCTCTACTTCATGTAAAAGTTCAAGTTCTGCTCACCTGTCACGACGTGTTTCACCTTCTTTCCTGATGAGTCCTGTTTTCTCAGTTTTGTCTTTAAGCACTACACTACCCATGAGCTTCAGCGGCTGTTGCTATGGAGACACCTCCATCCAGAGCAGTGACATCACAGTTACATCATATTGAGATCCACAGCTGCTTCCTTTGATCTGCCTTTGATCCAAAAACTGAGCCTTTAACGTGTGAATTTGACAACCGGCCGCCCGGCAACAGAGTCTGGAGCTCTATGATTGGACGTTTCTTACAGCAGTGCTCTCTGGGACTCGTAGTTTTTACTCCTAAAGTGTTTCAGGACTCGTAGTTTTATTTTTTTTTAATTCTGACTATTCAAACCGGTGACTTCCTGTCCTGCAGCTCCATCCACGGAGCGGCTGTGTCTGTGATGTCACCGTGATGTCACCTTTACGGCACGCCGTGCTTCAGTCTGAGAGTGTGTCTACTGTATCACACACACGCACACACAGAGCGCCCCAGGGGTTGAAAGGTTATTGGTTGCCTGGCTGCAGCGCTCAGCCAATCAGATGCGGGCATTCAGAGTTGGGATTTTCTGCATTGTTGCCATGCGGAGAATCTGCTGCCTGACCTACATTCATCCTCCACACACACATGTGCAGTTGTGTGTGTCTCAGTGTGTGTGTGTGTGTGTGTGTTTGGCTCAAAGGCACCGAGGCAGCAGCTTCATGAATTCTGGATGCGTTTCCTCTCTGGAGAACGTGTGCGTTGTTTGCCGTCTCTGTGAGGACCTGTGTGCAGGATTAAACTGCCGCAGTATGAGCAACACACCTGAGGTCACACGGATCTGTCGGAGTACATTTCTAAATCTGTTTGAAATGCAGTGCAGTGTTTTTCTGGGGCGGGGTCACGATGTTGTCGCGGATTTTGTTGAGATATACTGATGATTTTCTTGACGCTTCGTAAAACAGTAAAGTTACATGTAGTTTTGTGTGAAAATCAACTACAGCACTCGTCTCGCACAATATACGTCATCAACATGTTAACGCGGTAATGCTAAGCTAACGTTCATTGCTTGGTTGCTACTAGCTAAGTTATTTGGCTACGTTCCGTGCAGAAATATATCTCACCTGGTCCTTCTGTCACATCATCCTCTCAT